CAGTAGAGAAAATCCGATCAGAATGACAAAATAAACTAAGCATCCACTGGAAGGAATCCCAATATCTGCAGACGGATCCGTTTCGGCCTTCCAGGCCTTATCAGTGCAGCTAGGGTATAGACCCAAACAAAACATTCGACCAGCTTAGGTAGGGCCAAACTATTCCCACGACCACTAATGATTACAGAGCCAAACCAAGGCAATATATATACACAGCCCAGGTGTGAATGCAAATAGTGGAATACAAGCTATGCAGCTCGGTTCCAGTAGATACAGAGAATATTTTGTCATTCTTAACGCGTCCTACAAAATTCTTAAGAGACAGCACTAGTCTGTGAATTTGTGAACAAGATCGGAGATCTAAAGATGCAATCTCTACCGTGCATCAATGGCGGCGCTGGATCTCAATAGATATATATATATATATATAATACCTCAATATATATAAATATATAAACAAAATAAAAATTAATAACTTACTGTTCTTCCTAAGAAGGTGCTATTTTGAAAATTCCTTAAAAAATAAGCTACAAAAAAAGTTCCTAAAGTTAAAATGATTGAGAGAAGGGCTGTGTTTGGGTACGGATCGTGATCATCCTTCTCATGATCCTTGTGTGATGGCTCTGAGTGATGCACTGTGGGTAATTCTGTGAATTCATGCTGACGATCGTTGTCTAGTACGATGATTTCTTCAAGAATTTCATATGATGTGTTCAATATATCACTGCAGTTGGTATGTGACGAGCTGCAATACTCCATCTGAAATGGATTTTTATCTACAACCTGAAATGTAAAAGATACTTTATTATTACAAAATAATTAAAATATGTTGTTGCACCATGCATCAGTGATGAAATCAAGTCCTCTAAACTGAAGTAAACCACAAATTAGCAAATTAATGACTTTAGCTTGATAAACTTAATTGGCCACTGACAGCAGAAAGTCCATGCTTGTAGGTGGCAGAAATTTCTCCCATTGGTACCATTACTGCTTCATAAAATTAAATCATAATAACAACAATAACATTAACAATAAAATTAACAGCAATAATATAACAATGAAAAACACTAAAACTTGCAGTTATAAACTAATGTCTTCCCACAATTAATATATCTTATGAACATTTACTACTTAAATATACTCTGCCATCCAAAATTATTTTCAAAATTTAAATAAATAAATAAATAATTTTGAAAAAAAACCTCCAAAAAACTGAAGTTTGTTTTATGAACTTGTTTTTGGGGCCAGTTGTTAACTTTTCTCTTGGGTACAGTGTAAACATGCATGGTGTGTTTTTATGTGAATTGATAGTAGTGTGGCATTTAATTTTTGTATTAGGCTTCCTCAATCTTTATTTGAGGTGGTCATATTTTCAAAAAAAATTGTTCAATGATTTACAGACTTTTTACTATGGATATCCTTAAATTTTGCTGTCATAAATTTCAATCAATCTTTATTGCTACTTGAGAAATCCCTAGCTACATTCTGCATTAACAACAATTATCAATATGACAAGCATTTAGCAAAACACTAACAAAAACAAATTACTAGACAGAAATTCAGATTAATGCCTGATGGGGTAGTATTAGTGAGGTCAACAGCCAGGTCACAAGAGAGAATCGGGGCGTAATGGTAAGGATGCAAAGAATATAATGATTGGTAAATATCCATCATTAGGGTAAAATAATGTTTTTCCTGTTTAAATTTTCAGGTAAAAATAAAAAAACTTATTGAAACATATTTAAATATTTTAATAGCTTTATGTGGTAGAGTATATATTTAACATAAACAACAACAAATAACAACATGAAGAACAGAAGCAAACAGAATAACCTCCTGTGAGCTTTGCTCCTTCGAAGAAAATATCAATACAGTTCACCTTTCAATTCCAGACCACTTTGGGACCTGAAAATCTAGGGTAGTCTCAGGAGCTCGGTCTCCAATTAGAGGGTTAGGTTCGTGTAGAAACATTGACAATTGTTATTTTGGTTCTTTGCAAAAGTGATTCTGAATTAGAGGTGTCTTATATTTAGTTAACTAACATATTCTTACTGATTGGCAAAAATTCAATGAAAATTATGTTATTCTCTTAGTAACAAAAAAAGGTGAACATAATATAACTTAAGACTAAAAACACGCTGGTAAATGTATTCTCTTTGAAGTTAACTTACATAATACAGACTCTTATAAGTTTCATATATGAATATAAGGGAAATCAACGTTGCAAATATTTCTTCCGTGAATCGTGTGAAGTAATGAATGAGGGCGCTCCCTTCAGCTGCAACGACTGCCAATGCTATGACGAGGATCCATAAACCAATCCACACCCTCCATACTAGAAAATCTACTTCTAAATCATCACAAAACTACAAAACAAAAAAGGTTAAATTATATATTAAAAAATTATAAAAACAATTTACTGCATACTTAACTTTCTCCTCACTCCATGCAATACACTGGAAGAGGACATAGATTAAAGGAATAATATACACAATTTTTGTTGGGCAAGGTCTTGTAATCCTGTTTCAAGTAGGAATGCACGGCCAATTCAGAACTTATCAACACCCAAATCAACCGGATTACAGGGTGGACACTATTTTTGAATTTTTTAGCCTAGTGTCTACTGCCTGCAAGATGACAATAGACACAATAACCAAGCATACTTTACCTTGTACAAATTTTCTTCAAAAACCAACATAGGGCCAGTAGCACCAATTATAATCAGCGGCTGACCAGAAAATATTGCAAAAATCATCCCGCACAAACCAGTTGAAATTATCATCTCTGAGACGCCTAATACATCAAGTGTTTTTGAACCTAAAAATAAAAAAAAAAACAAAAAAAAAAAAACACCACAGTAATTAACAAAGGATAAGACATCAACATGGCATTGGGGCACAAGTAATGGCGATTGATTCATTCACTCAGTCATTTATACATTCATTATTTAAACATTTAATATTCACTTATAAATTCATTCATTTAAAAAAATATCCATTCACTAATTATTATGCAATCCTTGATTCAATTATACATCAATCTCTTCATTCATTCGTATATTAATTTCAAAATTCCTTTTCCTTTCATCTATTCATTCATCCCTTCCATCAGTTTTTCCCATTAATTTATTCATACTATCCATTACATTTATTCATACATTTATCATTCTTTATCTTATTCATATATACACTCATTCATTTCACAATTAATTAATTCATAATATTTATTTATTTATCATTCTCTATTTTATTCACACATACATTCATTCTTCCAGATATTCATTCCTTCATTTATATATTTTCCTGCCTTATTGCTTCATTCAGTCATTATATATAAAAATATTATATAAAACAACAGTACCTAAATTTCTTATTGACAAATCTAATAAAAAAAATTGTGAAACCATTCTAAAAATTAATAATAATTTAATAACTTCAATATTGATGAGGTAGTGTGGGCACTTACCCAGAAGTCCACCAAATGCAACTGCAGGAGCGATACAGGCGAAGTACAAACACATAAATGAAATAAGGCACTGTATATTTAAACCATCCTTAATATCACTAATAAATAACGGATATCTTTGTTTCACTTCATTCACTAAACCACCAAACACTTTTCCAGTTCTTTTCAAGAAATTTGAGCCAGCATCTTCTTTCTGCCGTTGTTTTTCCAATATTGACTTGATATCTGAAAAATATGATTGTAATATAATTTAATGCAAAAAAATTTATATAATTTAAAAAAAAATTATATACTATTTTGTGAGGGCAACCTAACATAACTTTACTGCTTTACACAAGATTTAAAAAAAAAGAGTAATACGATCAAATATTTGTTCAAATCTACCCACATAAAAGACTCATTTGACCCTGCTACCCAAAGCAACTGGAGCTCCTAAGTTCCAGGGGCTGATTTTGAAAGTAAAAAAAAAAGAAAGAATGAAAAAAAGAAAACGGAAAAATTTATAGCCTAAAACGCCTTAGATGTTTTAGGCTAGTGTTATCTTGATGGGCTCCACTTTCGGCCCACCTTTTGGACATCTCTCTGGATCCGCCCCTGAATTCCCCCTACTCTCTTGCCATACGGGCCCTGGAGGCTACACAATCCTGTAACCCAGGGCTAATTTTGATATTCACAAAACAGACTTACCAGACTCTGAAAGACGAGCACTGCTAAAACGCTCAGACCTGGCTTTATTTTGAGCATGTTGAGTCTTCTCGCGATGCCTCAAGATCGGTTCTAACAGCTCTCTATCCCACTCCCCCGGAGGTAGCACCATGGTTCGATCCAAAAAGCGATCAATTCCTTTTAGAATCCCATTGCAGCTGGTTGCTCTGTATGCACTCTTGCGAAAGTACTGATGGAAGAGATGGGCGTTTAAATAAAGTGAAAGTATTAATAATAATAATAATAAGGCAAGACTTTCTATACCTTGTTCATAATGATCATCAGAGGGCGGGAAAAACTTAAAATAAAATTTTGTTTCTTACTTAGCAAAATATTTTTGACAAAAGTGGAGTAGAAAATGAAAATAAAATTTTATTGATGAATGCAAACAATGTAGTAATGGGACTGACAAATATGTTTTAAATTTGTATAATTAAAAAAGAAATATTGAAATATTATTTTGGGTGATTTTAATGCAGTCGCTGGGCATAATAAAAACAAATAAATTTATTATTTTTCTGAAATTTCCATCTTTTTTCATTGCAGTGAGTTTGCTAACTGGTCAAAAATAAAATCTTAGTTTTACTCAAGATCATAATAATTGGTGAGCGGCAGGTTGAAGAAAAAATGATAATTATAAAATACAAAAGCAAAGTGCAAAAAATACTACTAAACCTTTAAATATTATGTATATTTGAATTAAATAAAATGATAAAACTATTGAAAGTAATACTAACAGGATCTGACAGTAATGTTGACAGTGATCTCCCAATCTCAAAATACGCTTCTCGTTCCCTTGATTTACAAAAACAAATAAATAGAAATCGCAGGGGAATGGGAACTTCCGTGAAACCTTGATAAACTGTTGGTTTTGTTAAACGAACAAGTGCCATCACAGACTCATCCAGTGTCTCGGTGTCATCGGCACCGATCATCACCATCGCAGCCTCCGAATCTTCCGGTATCTTGCGCATGATACCTTCTCTTGAGTCTTTTGGTATGTGCGAAGTCTGACAGTAGTCCACTGTTACTGGTATGGATGTGTAGTCTCCATTGAATGCCTAGTCATAAGAAAACATCAGAGAAAAGTAACATCTTAATCCCATTTTTATACTGTAATTGTTCAATAATTCCTTTTTTTTAATCCCATGCTTGTGAAGTGTAATTTGTCTATAATTATTAAGTTACTTGGAACAAACACTCTTGTTACAAAAAAAAAATAATGAAGGGAAGGGTATCGAGGTGGGAAGGGAGGTCATTATTTTAATTTTGATAATAATGATAATGGTGCAAACAATGTGTGTTGGTCATGCTCACCTTATTATTATATTAATTTTGAAAAAAACTTGATATATAGTAAAAAAAATATCGATGTTTGGTTGTGGTACAAAAGTTGTAAACAATTCTCACAACACAATGGGGTGTAACCTCATGCATAAGGTATTTCCATCAAAAAGCGCCTTAAAGCAACCATTAGGCATTAGTCAAGAAACATCAAGGTCCATCTCGCAATGACAGATTTACATCCTAATTAAATCAATTAATTCATTAATAAATTACTGTCTGGTAATCTGCTTGCAAAGTAGAAAACCTTGTTTTAAACATCATTTCAGGCCAACTTAATTTTGGTGCTGAATGACTGCATTTCAATCTGCAAGGTCCCTGGGTTCGAATCCTGTAAGATGCCATAAACAACTCTACACCCTAGCCAGGGGAGGATCCAAAGATGTCTGAAAGGGGGTGCAATCAAGAGAAAAGACTACACCATGGGAGGTCCGGCATTTCCCTGGGAAATTTTTGCTTTCTACACACCCAGAAATATTAGCCTCAGAGGCATTTTGGGCATAAAGGAGTGGGGCACCCACTCCCCCCCCCCCAATTCTGCCCCTGCTAGCATACTGAGGAAGTTTATAAAGCATATAGCACAGCTCCATCTTATAATTTAGTGTTTGTGTTAACGTGAGGAAGTAAACGTTATGACTCACCTGAAGCTGATGGTGATCATGACCTTTGGTGGACAGTCGATGGAACACACTCCCTCGTCTCTCTCGACCTTGTCTAGTAAAATATATATAAAATTTATAATACTGTATATAACAATAAATATATAAATATGAAGAGAAACTTTATCAAGCATATTGTATAAACCTGATAAAGGGTTATAGCCGAATAATCTCATCATCTTTATAATAAATCTTGGAGCAATTCAACTACCATCTTTGTGTTTGACTTCTTTATGTTAATTTTCTTATGTTTTAAGGAAAAAATGGTTGAAATTTTTGCAAATATCATCAGCAGAGTGGTCAATGGTAAAACCAGAACAAAATAAGATAAAGTGAGGTTCAACAGTAGGTTTGATTGGACATTTTATTATACATATTTTATTATATATACAGCATATATATTTATTTATATTATTATATAATATATATACAGATTCCTCTTCTTTAACATTTAAAATTTATATATATATGTGAATTTATATATATATATATATCTGAATATATATATATTCAGATATATATATATATATAAATTCACATATATATATAAATTTTAAATGTTAAAGAAGAGGAATCTGTATATATATTATATAATAATATAAATAAATATATATGCTGTATATATAATAAAATATGTATAATAAAATGAAAAAAAAAAAAAAAAAAAAAAAAACATGTTCTGTATCAGTGTTAAATGTTAGAAATGAATAATTAAAACAAAGCATTTGACCAAATAGGTCTATGTTCATGTTATTTATGTTAATTTTCATGCTAATACAAACTGAATACAGCATAAGGCTTTTTTATAGGATATTAAATAGGTTACAGAAGCATAGCAGCATACAATAAGTTAAAGAAAAGCTATTTATAGAAAGTTCACAGTAAACACTTTATCACATCTACATACACTACCAGTAAGAAAAAAATTATAAAACATGTGCAGGTTGATACAACAGTAAAAAATTGATGCATAGAAAAACCAGATTTTTTAAAATATTATATGTATAGAAAAATCACATGCTATATTTGAATGAACCCAACATGCAAATTATATCAAATGCTGGCTAAAATACTCATAAATTCCATAGAAATTGTGGGCGGAGCTAATGACAAGGTCTCATCAGTACGCTTCACAATATTACCCTGGTCAAATCATGTCATTAGCAACTGGAATACAAATATAAAAGTACAGTTGTACCATAAAGAAGTTAGTTTAAAAAGAATGAGGAATGAGGATGACAATTATGTACTCTTCTTAATTAGTATACCTTATCAAAGGCCTACATAATCCTTTCACAAACAAGTATACTCACCAATTACTGGGTGGTAATGCAAAGCTTTAAAAGTTAATTCCTAATTTTGGGGGGTAGGGAATGAAGATCCATTTTTTTTTACTTATGATGAAAAATCATGTTTTTTTTTACAATTTTAACTCATAGCTCTGGGAAGCATCTACAGCGTACATGAAAAATTTAGTTTTGTGAAAGAAGCAAGTTTATCACCGCATGGTATTTCTGCTTAACCTCATTTTTATTGAATATCAGATTTCAAGAAGAAATAAACCCGTAGTGTTAATATTGATAATGTCTACAAACAGTAGTATAATATAAAAATAGTATAAAAAACTGGGTTGTTACTCTGGGTGGGCATTAACTTAGGGTGGCTTTTAATCAGGTTGTGCATACTTGGGGTGGATTTATTACCAAAAAACTATGTAGTAGAAACATAATTAATACATTTACATATAACCAAGCATAAAAAACATAATTATCATAATTAATAACAATAGCCTCATTGTATTAGTATGAACCATGAATAATACATCAGGAAATTGTTATATATGCAACTACATAGCGCAGCGCACTGGAAGTTATCTTAGCCGTAAATCGAATGCCCAATAATTGATAAAACCTACATAAAGAGCCTCTCAGACCTAGGCTGTTTCCGCCCAAGTGTCGTACAAGTTTCTACGACTTAACTTGTGAAACTGAAGTCTAATCAACTTTAATTTTATATCGGTTTAATACAAGTGCAGTATGTTTGCAGACTTAGTTTACGAGTCAACATGAAGTAAGTATAGATTATTACGAGAGAAGTACAAGTTTACGACAAGCTTTACTATGACTTGCAAATTTACTACAAGCTTCAAGAGTTTGTAAAGAGTATTCTGAACTACATTTTAATTTTAAAGCTTATGCACAAAGTCTGAGTCAACACTATATTATGTGATGACACGGTAACACTAGGTCTAATTCAATGTTTCTAACTGGAGTTTTAATAAGGCCACCACTCTCTACAAAACACAGAATTAGCTCAAACCTGTCCAAAAATTAAAATACTGAAATAATTATAAGTAATTATCTGTAATTTTAAAAGAAAAAAAAATGAAGTTGGTAATACTCTATTACCAATTTTTCCTGGAGTAAATAATAGCTTGCTCTATGTTCAGGATGGCGTAAGGACATAATAGAGAATTTTTGATCTATTTTAGCTATTTTACCCTTGCTGTTATACTCATACACTTTTAGAGTCGCAGGTCAGCTTTCCCACCACAACCAGTGTGCTGCATTGTTTTTAGCTCTAGTGCACTGTGTTAAACTAATGGATAGATATTAGGTTTGGAAAATGCTATAATTTCTGCTATGCACTTGAGTGATAGAGAAGTTAGTAGTAAAAAATAGTATTAAAATTGACAGAATAACAAACAGGATTATAGAGTCATAGCAGATATTGCAGATTACATGGTATTTCTTAAAACAAACATAAAATATAAAAGAAACCAACACAAAAACCTCAAAAACTAAGTGCCAAACTCAATCTACCAGAAAAAGAAAAATTCATTATACCGTCATTTCTCACCTGGGTTCAAGGGGATACGAGTGCCTACGATGTCTCCTGTAATATTTGAAGAACCCAATATTTGATAACATAATATTTTTAAAAATGGTAAAAATTTATTCTCAAAAGGCTGTTTCAACTCAGAATGGGGATGGAAGTTTGTGTAGAATATAAGAACACTTGCATTTACCACCTTGCAACTTGCATTTTGTACCTCACATTTTTCCAACTCACAACTCGCAGGAAATAAACTCTCTCTCTTCTCAACTTTTATTATTCGCTTGTTTATATTTCTTGATTGTTGACATCACCCACAATTTGTGTGAAATTATGAGGCAATATATTTTTCAATCAAAATGATATACCAAAAGATAGAAAACAAGCAGAAAAATACAATATAAAGAATTTAAAAATTGTATTAATCTAGAAAATGTATGTCCTCTAGTTAAAAGAAAAGGAATCTTATAAAATAAAGTTAATAGAAATTTACTATTAAACATCAAAACTGACATAAACAATTGCCTCTCATATATAAATAATAAACATATATACTTTAAAAATACATGTCCATATCAAATATTGAAACACATTTGACAAATTTTAAACTGAAATAACTTGAGCCAGAAACATTGGCAGTGAAGTGAGCATGCAACAGCAAAGCCACTCCAAATATTACACAATATAATTACACAATATAACTGATTTTTATGAAACAACACACTGTTCCATGCAGGATATAATTTGGCATTTGGCTTATGAAAGCGAACGTAATACAACATTGGTGTAGAAAAATAAATTAAGGTTATTTAATGTTGTGCCAAGCCTGTGGATAGGCTGTTGGTCTTGATATTAATGCTAGCCTTGTCCTAGTTAATGTTGTTAAAACTACACCTCATTGGTTCAGAGGTGATAAGGTGTTAGATGATTAAAACAGCATTGTTTATAATCAGATCAAATCATACATAAATACATTTATCACCAACAACCATGCAATAGCATTATGGAGATTTGCCAAATAAGAAAAAAAAATTAAGAATTTATGTTGAAAATCAATTTCACAGTCAATACAGCCTTAAAACTGCACTCACTTTCATCAATCATTCATTTCAAACCCAATTTATTTTTGCAACATTTAACAAGGCAGTGAATGGGATAAAATAACTTTTTTTAAAATAACTATGGAAATGTTTATATTAAAGTAAAGCATACTTAATTTCTGGCTTGCAAAACTGGTTTAGTTGGTACTGAAACATTCTTCAGAAATATAAAAATTTAAGTTTTATAGCAAAGAATATATAGTTTGAAAATTTTATTTTCTGTGTTTTTTTTTAATCCTTTGATGTTTGATGTTTTATATAAATGTATGTACTGTTTCTTGTTTAAATATTAAAAAGGTTTTACACTGTCAAAGATTACCTGTGCGATAATGGACATCATATTTATCATCTATCAATACCTAATTGAAATTAACTAGAGACTGCAAGTTACATGTTAATAAAAAACACTGTTATCAACTTTTTGAGACAGACCAACTGGAGAGGCAGATCCTGAATAGCAAAACTATTAATTGATATTAAAACAATTAAAAATTTAATATTTGTTAAACTATTATATTAATAATTACAATACAATTCCATAAATATCTTTATTGTCTTGCTAATATAATCACATAAAACATTTCAAAAAAATCATTTTTTATTATGAAGAAACTATGTCTTTTGTTGATAATCATATAAATATTAGTAGGACATGCTCATTCCAGGAAGATAGAAATATGTAGATATATTAGTAAAAAACTTGAGCAAGGGAAATGTACCTTGTTTTCACGTTGCCACGGTTATTGTATAATTCCCTAAAGAGGAGTAAAAAAAGTATTATAAACATTAATCCTAACATGTCTCACAGATTGCTGATATATCTGCCCGCCACAGCCTAGCTGCCTGCAGCTCTTCATGCACAATGATATTGAACTCAGCTGTCTGCTACAGGGGAGCGAACACAACTTAGCTGCTTACTCACCTTGGTGAATTAACATAGTTCATGAGAGCTTAGGGGCCTGAGTTTAAACCCACCACATGTAGTAAAAATCGTAAAATATTTTTTTTACAAAAAAATATGAATATGAGATTACATAATGCAAATAACTAAAGTTTGCCATCACAATGTTAAAACTGTGTATACGAGAGTACAACATGCATCTGTTGTTGCATGATTTACCATAATATCTTCTGACCCTTGGCAGCCCCAGCCTGGGTCGCAACCTCCATTACTATGTAAAGCTTGTTTTGCTATAGGCCTACACAGAAACTAATAAAACAAGCTTTCTACAAAATGAAATCTGATGATTAACTCACTAATGCTTTTAACCATCTAACCACCCAACAGGAAGGCTGTGGTGACCCTGGCCCATGCTAGTGGCTCACATCGTTCTCAAAGCCCACATAAGTTACACTGTGCCACTGCTTATTGGCTCAGTTTCATGCCACACTTGAGCTCATTCAGCTTAGCTTAAGTTCTGCACTCAAGAGAATTCAGCTAAGCTGCCTAGTCTATCTCCAGCTCTACTGGATCTGCTCATTTCTGCATAAATGTCACTCATAACTTTGCACAGCTCAGGTGAATACATTGATAATTTCCGCTACATTCCAAGCCAACATCTGCATCATTTATAGACCAATATGAAACAGTTAAGCTACCCGCTTACATAGATTGATCGATTAAAACATCAACATTGTAAACAACTAATCATAAATTGTGTGTAAAATCAAACTGAAAGCTTACTGTAATCTGCTAAGTGCTACAGGCTTTTTTTTTTACACATAGGTTAATCATCATTACAGTTTTTTTTTTTAAATTTCTATTAACATAATCACCATAATGTATGAATCCATCTGTATGTGTCCTAAGAGAAATATGATTTATCTGAGGTTTTAAAATATATGTATTTTATGTAATTTTATGTATTCAAGCTTTCCAAAGAGAAAAGCTCCTTTTTTTCAATATATATATATATATATACTGTCTCTTATACACGTGTCTATAGCATTGTGGTCAGTCATGTTCTAGGGCCTCACATATACACCCTTCTACATGTAAATGAAGAATGTGTTTTAAACCTCCTAGGTTTTTTCCAATGATTATGTAGGGAGAGGAGAGTGGTCATTCATTGAAAGTGAAAACCCAAAAAGACATAAACAATACCTCCTTGCATGAGCAATATGGCTTCTTTGACCATTTCCAGAAGAAATGCGGGACACGATTAATTTGATATTAAACTGTCAATTTATATTGGAAAAATATTTTTAGGGCACTTCAACGAACTCTCAAATTCATAGCATCAATTATGGCCTGTGCGACAACATGCCTCATTTTATTCTAATAATAATTCTAACTGCTTGTCAGACATCTGATAAGTTTCAAAATTATCAAAGTCTTCATTTACAAACTTATTTGTGCGTTTGAATTTTTGTTTCTATGCATGACTCGATTTTCTATATAATTCTCTTCAAATTATATTTATTCAACATGCTATGTAATTATTATTGTGTGTGAAGTTTAACAACAAAACAAACCAATCAACCAATTACAGACTTTTTCAACTATAAGGCATGTGACCTAGTTTTGCACATTATCTTTTTTCAATTATTAATGTTGAAAGTCATCAAGGAAGCACTAGTATGTTCAGTTTGTATCCTGTAACATGTTATGATTTGTCAATATACATAATTACAAATAGGAGTAATATTGATAATAATAATCATGAACTTATATAGCGCATAATGTAAAGACCTCCATGCACTTTTACAGCCAGAAGTGAGATAGATTATTGATTCATAAATAAACAGCTACAGTATATTATTAACTTAGAGTTATGAATCCTTTGAAAAATACAGTAATTTTAAGTTTCTTTCATCTATTTAATTTTTTTATATTTCTGTCTTTTACTTATTACCTTTCTTTTCCTTTTCCATTTCTTTTTTCTTTTCCTGTCTATCTTTAGCTTTATTTCCTATATTTTTTTTTCTTTCCATTTCCTTCATCTATTTCCTTTCTTTTACCTTTTTCAGGGGCCAAAACTTCATATATCATTCACCAAGAAATGGAATGATCTATGAAATGAAACAAAAACTAACCTAGATATGATAATATTATCATATAATATTAATTTATAACTTTTAGACTTACTTTTCTTCAAGATATTGTTGTTTAAGTCTAAAAGTTAATAACAATAATAATAATACTGCAGATCATACTTAACACTTTGAAAGTAGTAGCTTTTGATCTATTATTGCACACATCTGCGTCCATCATTAATGCTGCAGTTATCAAGGAAATGGGCACCTAATGGATATTGAAGTTTTTAATTGAAGACAGTTATAGTTTGTCTTATAGCACCCACTGTGATTTGTAGGTGTGTAAAAAAATTTGGAATCATTTTAAGTTACAGTATTACAATCAGGTTGAAAATAAAAACGAGAAAATTCATAACATGGACAACTTGGTAGTTTTTAATATTATCATATGTAACTTACGAGACTTTTTGACTAAGCATCTGCATTATCTTCTTCTTACCATCTACCGTTATAAGACCACTGCAAAATAGCTGCTTGGCAACTGTCTCAAAGATTTCCGACAGATCTATTAGTTTACAGTCCAACATGACAACTCCTGCAAAAGATAAGGAGAGTATACAGAGTGGTCAATGTTAAAAAGGGGACAGTGCTACAATCAGTGCTATGTTCCATGGTGGTAGATTGGTTAGTGGTACGAGACCGAATATTTTTATTGACCCTCTTTGAAGTTTACACTTTTCACTTGGTCACCAACTTGGTCACCGTGCATTATCTCATGTAGTTCCATGACTTCAGAATTATCTTCCAGATCGCATTAAGGACACAGTTGGTGACCATTTTTAAGGGTGAACTTAAAACATATTTGTTTTCAATATTATTTTCTTTTATGGCATGGTGGGAATTTTTTAACTTTTTGGTCCTTTTGTTTTGTTTTTGATTTTAGTTTATGTATAGTGCTTAGAGGTTCAACAACATAAGCTGCTTTATAAATCTTGGATATTATTAATATTATTAACTTATATTTATATAAGAAATGTCGGTTTTCATTCTAATAGGTAAAGGAATGACCCTCATAATCATGTTCACCTTTATAATTGGTGTAAAATTAATGTTAACAAATCAACCTTCTAACATATGTCCTAACAGCAGGAAACACCAAAATGTCATTTCTTTTACTAATGGCGGTTCTCTGTCTTTTCCTTAATGTCACAGAAGCCATTACAAAGCACATATTACATCCTGAGTTGGGAATCATAAATAATATAAAATAAGATTTTTTATGGAGCAAATTGATTTAATAGATTCAGCACTTTATAGAAATTTGAATAAAGAAGTTGTTCTTGTAATCCTTGCTAAATGTCAGGCATAGAGAGAGAGGCAACTATATGCAACTTCTAAATTTTTTTTTCAAACAAGTTCAGGATTGGACAGTAAGTAATAGTCAGTGGGCTTATTCGACTGGTTCATTTCATTGAGTACGAATTTTCGTTGAGTATAATTTTCATTCGACTGGTTCGTAAAATAGACTTTGTTGACAATGAAAATTAACGTAAACCAGAATGCACTAATCAGCGTTAAGTTATGCACATGACCAAAAAAAATATGGCCGATTGGTCAGTTTAGCAACACTTGCTTTAATATAATTTAGATTAATTTTCAGAAAATATAAATTACAATATTTACCCATATTGAAGTCAAAAAATAACTGTAGGCTAATAGAATTTTTACAAAAAATCCATACTGCCACAATCCGAAGCAGTCTTGTTTACTAAGCGTGTATCGAGGTAACTATGCAGCCATTTTGTTTTGTTGAGTATTTACCAGTTTTCTATTTGACTGGTCATCTTCGTTAAGTAGGATTTTACCACTGCGCAGGTGGGCGTGGTTTAACGAAGAACGACCAGTCTAATATGGCCAATAGCATCTGAAATCCTATACACTAATGAACCTTATAAAGTACTTACTAATATTATTATTATTATTATTATGTATAGTGTTTATGATATTGACAACAGCATGCTCCCCAAAAATAGACAGCAAGTACTTTATTGATGGAATAATTAGTTTGACTTTGACTTCAGGCCACTTTAACAGTCTACAGATCCTAACCAAGTATCATCAATACCATCTAAAATCTTGTACACTAATGAACTTTCTAAAGTACTTAGTATTATTATTGTGTATAATTATAGTGTTTATGATATTGACAACAGCATGTTCCATAAAATTAGAAGAAATATCAATACTCTAAGATATATTTGTGTTGGAGCTAAAAGGATGCTTTTTTCCTATTACACTTTTTTTTGCGATTTCAGTGATTATTCATTGTGGGCCATTGGTCACTGTCATGAATAAATAAATACGAAGGCATGCCAGTATATTAACATTGTTTGGCATTTTCTTTTATCACGATATATAATGATCTACTAAAAAAATATAATTTGTCCTACCAGTATAACTCGAAATCTAAAAATAGCAAAAAAAAAAATGTTTCATTTTTACTTTGTAATGATCTACTCATAAATATTAATGGTCCTACCAGTATATCTGGTATAAGTAAAGTTCCCAACAAATAACAAAATTTAGGAAGAAATTTTTCTACCACAAAAAGTCCATGATACATTTAGAAATAACTATTCACTAAGCCATCTGAGTCTTGACCTGCAGGGTATACACAACATTGTTTTACCAAACATATTGTCAATGTAAAATATGTAATAGCAATATTTTTTGTGCAAAGAATATGCTTAAAATATACAAAATTTATTACTTTTAGCTTTAAAAGGTTGTTAAATTCATGTCTTTGGTACTAATACTGCTTCCTGATAAAAAGGGTAATAAAATTCTTAGTGATCTAAGGGTATAAAACGATAGATTTGTTGCAAATTACCTTCCACTTGAGTAATGTAAATGGGAAAATAGCTAATTTTTTTTTTTAAACGTCACAGCCAGAATGTTTTTGCTTCCTACACTGGCTGACAATCTGACCAGTTTAAATTGAAACTGCCAACTGGGCAGTGACTAAACAGCCAACTAGACAGCTAATCTTCCTGCCCAGAAAGACTTGTTGCCATGTAAACCATCAAAGAAAGTAAGTTAGCAAACAGATCATCCACCATCCGTGGGCTGGATGAAGCAACAGTGGCTTTATAATAATAATAATAATAATAATTTGCAATTAGTATAGCGCCTCCCATTGGAGCAACCTCAAGGCGCTTGACAACAAAGGAAGGAAACGGACAAGAAAAATAACCGTAAACCTAGACTAACAGCACTCTAGATGCCTAAAAGAACCAACCCAACACTGCATCGTTTATTGACAATTTAAGGCGCTAGGCCTGCCGATGCATGACTCAGAGTTTCAGGGCTAGAAAGCAAACATATTGGTAACGGGTCGACTGTTAAATGCATACATTTTCATTCTCAAATATACATGAGTTTAAGTCAAAATTATTTTACTGAATTGTTGTTTAGTTGTTGTAAAGCGCATTGAGGCTTCTCTGCGGAATGCACTATATTAGAGTGGCATTATCTAATCTAATCAAATCTGGTCATTTATATAGCGCCTACATAAGTTCCATGTGAAAGTGTATCTGTTCGAGATATTTGAGAAATATTCTGGCATCTTGACAGATTGAACCAATGCCCTCAAAGATCATGTGAGGCACCATAATCACTAAACTATAGCTTTTCTAATTCAGGTGCTTTTATTTTATTTTGGAGGCATGTATTGTACACTTACCATGGTCTTGCAAGCCACGTTTGAGTTCCAGTAAACTATGAAAGGTGAGAGAAGCTACGTGAGGTTTTCCCCAACGATCCGAGCCTTCCTCTATATCCTCCTCAAACTTAATCCACCTTGCCCTCTCCTTCCAAACCTGACCTTGCCCATCGCAATACTCTAACTGATGAAGCTCTATAAACAACTAAAATGTAATTCAAAAAGTAATTAATCTTAGTAAAGAAATAAGCAAAAATTTGGTTAACCCTAACAAAACATGAAATTAAAAAAAACCCCAAATCGCTAACAAATTACGCACCCATCTACCAAGAGTGACGTCAATCTTTGACCTATGAACTTCCTCGCGTTGGGCATGAAAGTCATAAATCCATCATCTGTGCTGCCTGAACAGTCTCGCAGACATTTTACTTGCAAATAATTCCCAGGCCAATTTTTATTACCACCAACATACACATTAGTATGCAGCTCACTTATGACCACCCCCCCCACACACTGTCATCAACCTCTCAATCAATTTCTCCTTATTCCATCAATCCCCTGATTTTAGTTACTTCATTACTTTGTTTTCAGCAAATCGTTCAAAATGACTATAATTTGCATTCTTGCAACACATAACGATTCTCCCATTAAAATAGATCTGTGAAAGTAATTAACACCAAATTAGGAGGAGGAAAAAATCTTTATTTGATCAAATCGTTTGACCTAGGAATGGTAAAAACTAATTATTATAGTATCACAGTATTTTTTGACTATAATGATTTTAACACCTGCATCTCTATGCATTTAATTAGCCTACACTGTAGCAAGACTTAAGGTTAAGCACAGTAGTATAACTAAGAGGCATAACGCCACATGCTAAGGCTTCTTCAGGGCCCAGCTACTACCATCTGCACCGGTGTTTTTGACGTTTTAAAGGTCTATTTGATGTTTTTTACACATTCTGTGCCCTGAGAAGGCCCACTCATGTGATTAGGGATACATAGTCCTGGCAAAAAAAAAAGTTAATTAATATCCTGAGGCCCCCTAATCTCATAAGCGTTACACCCTTTGAGATGTGATGCGATGTGTATGGTGCTCTTACGTCATGTGGTGTTTCTACAGATGAGCAAGCGGGAGATTCACTTCCAGGTTCTAAGACATGTCTACCAGACTCATTCCTTGAATTATTAATGTATCCTGGAAAGAAAACAAGACAAAATAAATAACCAAATTTTACCATAAACTATATAACAATATAATAAAATAAGATACACATTGTTTGAATAATGAGAATCAATCTTTTGTAAAAAAAAAATAAAAACAATAAATGTTAATATTTTATGTTTTCATGATTGATTAATGAACAATCTTTGTTGAGTGATTAACATATTTTTACAAAACAAAATTATTATGTGTTTCAGTATTGCTCATTTATTTTCTACAGTGAAATAGAAAAATCTAAATTCTTTTTTTAATGAATAAAAATTTCTATAACATTCTTCATAAAACTTATATGTGTTTGATTAAAGCCAGTCCATCTCTCTTGAGTGAAATAAAAATATGAATCATGGTCTAATACTAATTGAAAATTTAATAGCAATTTATGCTATCCTTTTCATTGTATCAATTAGTATAGTACAGATCTTTTATTTCCTCAATCTGATCTTTATGTTGAAGTCAACATTTTCACAGCAATTGAAAACTTTCTTTTCATTAAGACTGTGATGTGACTTTACAGCAGAAGTTTGTTCAGATTTATTATGGGGTTGAATCAGATGAAACATAGCTGTATCTAGCTTTCATCCGACACAGAAAGACATTCAAATTTTTTTAGACAATAATCTGATTAAACATAATGTAACATACAAATTTTTGTCTGTCAAATTAAATAGACCATGTTTGATAAAACTTAAAGGAAGTAGAGTTTGTCACAATTCCAGCAGACATGGAAGGATTTATTTATTTATTTGATCAGATATGTCTGAAAAAACCTAAACAATCACTGTATCTGACAAAGTCTGTTCAAACTTTTTCTGTTGCCAGACAATTATACGGGCAGACACTGAAAGAAAAAGCTCGAAAATAGGGTGGTATAAATAGGCACATACGACTGCTAGGCTAGAGTGGTCTTATTTACAATATTTAATTAAAATTATGCCTATTAAATGTATTTATATAATAATTACAAATACATATTACATACATTATAATCTTTAAAATCTGTAATCTAAAACAATAAACTAAAAATAAGCTTGAAAAATAACCATTAAATGAAAAATTAGGCTTGTTGAGTGTGACCGCAAAATCCCTACATTAAATTCAATCACAATATTATCAAAATAAACACTATGTCATGCTCTGTAATGCATGAAGTGTGGTTAAGGAGGTAATGGAATTGGGTTATTCCTAAAGGAAACAGAGGATTTGAATCCCACGCCCTGGGGATCACAAGATAGTGACTTTTACTACCAAGCTATTGACCTTTACTACCAAGCTACAAAACATTGTCACAGTTGCTAACTACAAACAACATCAAAATAAAATTTAAAAACTATAATCCTACAACAATCACAAACATCAGTCAATAGGAAACTATATCCAGTGACAGATCAAGCAATTTGAAATAGAGAGGTCCCAGGGAGGAACTTCGCCTCAGCTCACAATGGTTGGGGCTGAGGTAAGAAAATGTACGATTATGTCACCTCTAGATGGCCGGAAATGGCACTCACAGACTGAAAATTTGAATGTAATTTTCTTTTTTACTCCAATATTTAACAATTTTGAAAAATTTAAGGGTTTTTTGGGGGTAGGCCGGGCCAGTTGGGCCTCCCCTTGAATCTGCCACTGATATCACATTTACCTCCAGAAATTCCACCATGTCTCCGTCGTCCCCTTATGTGACCACTAGTTAATGAGCTTGTACTTGAGTTTCTGAAAGTAAAACATTGACATATGTCACAAATAGCCCAAAGAAAATGCACATTCAATTGGCACTCCTACACTATAAAAATCAATATATTTCATGTATTTATGTATATGACTGAATAAAATGCACCTTGAATACTTGGTTCAAATTTATGAATCTCAAAATTTAAAAATGTCATATCACATCCTCCATCAACATTTTCTTTTATATTATTCATGTCAACTTCCCATATCTGCTTAAGTTCTCTCTTGTTAGCCCCACTAAGATGAAGGTTTATATCAGTGATGAGGGTGTGTACTCGACTAGCGATATACCACAGACATCCGTAGTCTAGTGGTATAGCAGGTGCCTTGATAGCAACAAGTCACAGGTTTGAATCCTTCTGGAGGAACTTTTTCCATATACAGTAATAGATAAGAAACAGTTTGTTGAAGGGATATGCTTGATACATATTATTAACATCATTTTTTTCTATATGTTCTTAGAGAACATTTTCACTTTCACAGATGTTCTATCATCTATGATTAAAATGAAACACATGCACAAATAGTATGTGATGATAATGATATACAGAATGATGATGCAGGAAATGTAGAGATAGCCAGATAACACAAACTAGTATAGCAACATAACTTTTTGACTACATTATTCTCATCATACGTAATGTGGAAACAAAGATTTATATCATTTTACTTGAGAACAGGTGGAAGTATTATCTTTCAAAAATAACTATTCATGTTTAGTATTTTTGTTAGTACTATATTTTAAAAATGTCTTATGGCATGCATAAATGATAGTGTACCAGTGAATATTTTTTATAACTTAAAATCTTTGTACACAGACAATAAAAGCTTCATTAATCTTGAATCTTGAAATAGTGTTCTGTAAGTCAATAGTGATTTGTCGTAAGCTGAAGTAAAATGAACACAAACAACAATGCTGTAATAAACGATTGCTGGATTTTGGTTAAGATTCAAAATTATTAACTAAAAGCTAAATTTGGAAAAAATAAACCAGAGCTTTTGAGCAAAACTAGTTCTCCGTCGCTGGTGACAAATATTAATAAATGAATGAATTATTTCACCTCCGAAATGCAAATCTCACTTGATCTTATTTGACTTACAAAGGTAAATACATCAATACCAATATAGAAACAAAAATTGGAGGGGAGGGGGATGGGAAAGGATGTGCAAGGGGGTCAGCTCGAAGCAGTAAACAAACAAGCTATGTCATAGGTTTGGTCAACTAGAAATTGAAAAGGTAAGAAAAAAATATTTGCATTATAAGCTCCAAAAATGACCTCCCATGCAATGGTGCAAAATCTTGTGATGAACTTACTATCTTGATATCACAATTAAGTTTCCTTCCTCACAAGTTACAGTATGAGAGGCAAGCCTAGACAGACATCACTCCCTATCAATTTATAACACTAATTGGTGGCTCAATTTAATTTCAAATTGGTTCTACAGTAAATTTGTTGCACTAACTAATACAAAAGTGACAATACCCCATTCGCACAGTTGTGTATACCATGAAACAAATTATAATGGGAAAAGTGGTAGAACCAGGGATGCTAAGGGGCGGCTCTTTCACTCCCCCAGCTCTCTTCCAGAGCAGCCAAAAAATCTCTAACCAATGGTGAAATCGGGTATAATCTTTTTTCTCACACAGGGAAGACACCCCTAACAAAACAATCCCCCATTTTGACCATAGTTTTCGAATGAGACTTCGTTCCCCTAGAAGAACAAACATTCTGGAACGCCCCAACCCATACCAATGGTTATTATTTTTGTTCTTATGGATATTTATATTTCACATGAATGATTTCATAAATTGATGAATTTTGAATTTTTTTTTTCATCAAATTTAGCACGAGTTGTAATATGAGAAATATAATCAATGAATTCAAAACCGCGTTATTATAAATATTAATGTAAAATCATAGTACACAGAACATGTAAACCGTGCCTTACAGCATAACATGGAATTAATTAAAATATGTCTGTAACGGAGATGTTTTTGGAGATGAATGGTGAACCCTCTGGGATTTCATTTAGTGACAGTACAAGATCAAACGCATCCTCAAGGCTTTAGTGCATGTTCTTTTTATTTAAAGTTTCATCTTTAACTATTTTTTCAAATCTCAACCCAATTCCAAAAATAAATTTCAATACCTTCTTCCTATAATCACATAAATCATCCTATCCATTTATATCCATCTACCAATCCATTTTATCTAGTCATCTATAAAGCCTTCCATCCTTCTATTTATGGCTGTCTAATCAATCTATCTACATCGCAAGCTCAGTGGTCTAGTGGTCATGATACCAGGCTTATCTTATCTGGAGGTTGTGGGTTCGATTCTGACCCAAATTACTTGCAAATTTTTCACAAGTATTTGGGAACATATTAAATATTCAGTACGATAAAACATGTAAAACAGGGCAAAACATCACACATATGATATTTTCCTGACACAGACACACATTGAAATAGCCTTAATAGTACCCGCCGCTACTTGGAGATCGGGTTCAACACTAGCCACTAATTGCCAACATGGTGTCTAGTGGTTACGACACCAGGCTAGTTATCTGGAGGTCATGGGTTCAATTCCTACCCAAATCACTTGCAAATTTTTTGGCAAATATTAGTAATAGTAAATTAGTAGTTAGTAAATAAAATGCTTCAAGGGTATCATCTTGCTAATATTTAATCATTTTATCCATGTCCAGAATTAGAACATTCAGACAGTGCTAACCGATTGTGGTAACTTCTTTGCATGCCCAATTTTCCTAATTTTTTTTCTGTGTGTCCCAGCACGACCCTCTGGAATGAATATTAAAATGAGGTTATCTAACCTTTTGTAGTGGCGGACAGTAGAATTTGCCTCACTTTCTACTTGAAAATCTTCTTGTGTTTTCTTTAATTCTTCTTCACTGATATCCATCTGAAAGCCGGTTTTAGAACAAAATCATATTATCGTTTTATCCTGATTATCCACGACAATCTTTAGTCGAGTGTCTGAGCGGAAAGGCAGAGAGGCCGTTAATTACAGCCGTAACACCGGCGCTGATTCAAGCCGCTGTCCGTCCATGATTTGGTTGGTAGAACCCAAGTCTTCCCAGATAAGGACTAAGAACAGCAGGTCACAGAACACAGCCATATGTAATTAAGCTATGAGTTATTCTCCTATCTTTATATTTAATAGTACAGTACGAAGCACTAAATCAACTATGAATTGTTGCCATATATTGAAAAGATATTACTTGGATGTAAATATGCAATTATGTTTTACCAAGACCATGGATAAAATATATTTATAATATAAATGGCCATTCAAATGTGTGAACATTAGGTTTTAACTTGAAAAATATTAAATTAATATCTAGTACATATTCAAATGTCCCCCATTGAGTATTTTCAAGCAATATTCTGGAGAATTACCCAGAATGCTTTTGCCATTTAGTGCCCGAATGTGCCCCTAGTCCTTACCTATGCAATTCAATACTTTCAAGGCAATTACCTTTTCCTCTGGAGTGACAAGAGGCTCTTCTTCCTGTGCTGAACCATTTTCAACTGAGGTCACCTCTGTCATATCTGTCTGTGTTTTAATTTCAGGAATTTTCAAATGGTTTGAGTTTTTTTTAAGTTGGACAACTGATGGACTTTCTTCTAAATCAGGAATAAAGAGAAAAAAACAATAGGTTTACAGTACATTATTATTTTACTTCATAACTTCTACTTTTTATTTATTCATTCATTCTTTTTTTTGGGGGGGGGGGGGACAGAATTTAATACAAATCTTCAGGCCCCAATCCATAGAAATTTAATCACAGGGCAAATTGTCTCTTGAACAGACAAGCAGAAATATTATTATATACAATGCACTTTGTGATTTATTATTTATTTAGTGCTTAATGGATAACAATTACAATAGGCCTACATAATTCCAGAGAGCAACTGATAATAACTATAAATAAAAGAAATATTTTCCCTAGTAAGATTGCTATTTATAAAATATGATTACAGCATTTGAATGAAATAAATAATCAATCAATCATCTTTTATTTCAGAATATAATCCATAAATGACTAATAGCCTACCTTCTTCAAATGTGTTTGAGTTTATCTTTGGTTCTACCAATAGATACGAGACGTTACTCGAGTTGTGCGAGGTATCGGCTGAGATTTGTGGAGTGCAATTGAAAAAACAACTATAGGTCTAATAATGAATTATTGTGATGTTAAATAGACAATGTTAGCTATCAAGGAACAACATTGTTTTTCATTGGGACCTTCGTCCCTTCAAGGCTAGGCCTACACCATCCTAGCTAGTCTAGGCCTAGAGTAGGATAAGGCTAGCGCGACATGCGGACGTTGGTACGTGTTGGTTAGTCTATAAACGTCGCCTAAAGTAATTGATTTTACCCGGCAGAACGAAAGAAGGAAACTCCGCTTTTCAGTCATCTTAGGCCCTTGCTTTTTGACAAACAATGACCTTTCAGAGGTCAAATTGCTGTCAAGAATATGAATTGGCTGCTTCGCAGCAAAAAGCACCTCTTTTGAATAAGTGCTGCACAGATGACTACAAAGCTGTGCAGTGCTTATTTGCTTATTTACAGTACTAAGAGTAATGTAAGTAGTGTTGTGATTTTTAAATATATTTGTTCATCTCCTGAAGTTTGAAAATATTAAACCATGATGGCTAGCATCACATAATAAAAAAAATATATGTTATGGTGGCTTTTCATGATTAATGACGGTAACATTAGGTCTCACCAAACTAGATATACAGGAAAAAAAAAAGAAAAAAAACTAAAATCAACACTAATACACAGAGAAAAGAAAAAGTAGATACAAAAATTAAAATAAGAAAAAATACTGTATATAAAAAAAAATCAATGGAACAAATATGGGAAAGGTGGTCAGATTTAATCGATCCAGGTTAGTGCACTTACATTTCTATTGGTCCAGAACAAAATAACAGACATTTGGCATCAGTACCAGAAGGATGTTCAATTAAATCTGTTGACTTGATGATTGTCATATTTTCCATTTAAATTAAATATTTTGCACTTTGCAGGTCAAAATTAATAAAACTACAAAGGGAATTGCAGCCATTTCAGAATCATGGGGGAGGGAAAATTTGTCCCCAGTTTATTCCATTTCTAGGGTGGATGCAGGAAGGTGCAGACAGTGCGATCGCACCCTCTTAAATTGTGGTGCTGAGATGGTGTGGATTCTCACGCACCCCTACCGCCAAATCCTGCATCTGCCCCAGCCTTTCCCAAGCATACTCTACAGAATAAAAGCATAGTAAAGTAGGACATCAATCTTATGTTGAATACAAAAGTGGCTTTGACTAATGACAAGTTAATTTTTGCTGGATGCTACGGACTTATTCACAATGACGGCTGTTTACGTCATACGAATTATGATCCAGAAATTAAAATCCACCATGAAATAATCATTAAGAAAACCATTCAAATGGGAGGCCCTCTTAGATTATAATTGACAGACATAAACTATTGCTGAACTTGTTGCAAAAAGAAAATTAATTAATTTTAAGCACACACTTCATAATCAATTGTTTTGTGATGCCTAACAGACCCACACTTTCCTTCTCTCTTGCATGCCAATAATTTCACATGCAGCCTCTTTCTGGAGGTATTGCAAGTAGATTTTGCTTTAGACACCAGAACTGATAATATATTCTTTAAGTTAAGCACTTCTTTGCAAAACTGACGTTTGACAGTCAGTCGATGAATTCATATCCACGCTCTTTGTGGGCTGATGGGCGCGGCAACACCAACTGTTGAATGTCGGTGTCAGACTGAGTGGATTGTCATTAGAAACAATCTGTTGCACTTGCTGCCTCACGTTGGCTGACGTTCCGCGCAGTGTGTGTTTACCGTTAAACACAGACTTGATAAATTTTGTTCACTTTGCAAACCAGTGTCATACCCTGGATGAATTCGGGAATCATTTTTTGAGTGCGTAATTAATGAAACATGATTGCTTAAATTCACCTCAAGTACGTAAAAGATGCAAACACTGGCAGATCATTGGCCAACCCAGAAATATTTTTGGCCAATAAGTCTTTTGTTAAATTGAAACAAAAATGAAATGAAATTGAATGCTAATGGTGGAAAGCACCATCCACAATACAATTGTCTCAAGGCGCTGGAAAAGAGAATGATTTCAAAATGTAAATCATGATCGACTTTAATTTCATTTGACTTGGATGTATTCAGGCACTTCTCATTCAAAGTAAAAGGGAAGATAAAGTGGCAAGGGGAAAAACCCGACATTGACAAATTTTCAACCTGAGCAAAGTCGACTTCCTCGACTGTGGATTAGGTTTTATGTTCATGCACAGGGCATTGCCTTCGAAAGAAAAAAAAACCATACCCAATTGATAAGGCAATATAAATGCGATAATAATACGTCTGATAACACACACATACTTCCTGTATGCGTGTAATGCAATTGTAGTCTGACTATTTTTGTCAAATGTTTTTGAGCAGAGACATCAGAGAACATTCGCAAGAGTGCATTATATACCCAATCCATTTTTGCACATTTTGATAATTTTGTGGGGTGGGAATTAGCTTTTTGAGCGCATGTGGTTGAAAACTTGCCAATTTTTAGTATCTGAATGTTGTCTGGTGCAATCATTAGTTAACTTCCTGTTCATGTACATTATATGACCTGTGATAATGTACTGTAAAACAAAAAGACAAACTCTGAAAGAAGACAGAGACATTTTGAGAATTCAACATTTTGATCTATTGATTATTTTTAAGGACACTGAATAATGAAGCCTTGGTTGATGTGCATGCAAATCTATCACAACCAGGGATGGCGCCGGCTTTTTTTCAAGCAAAAAGCTGTGTCTGGGGCCTTGTCAGGGCACAGTGGTAGATTTCCCACCCCCAAACACAAACAAAATCTGAAGTTCTAGATATTTAAATGAACCATATTTGGCTCAGGATGAACAATGGTTATTGTCTGAACGAAAATTCACTTGTAAATTTTATCTAATGTAATGAATGACCTTAAAAAAAAAATTTTAAAAAAATCCCCCATTACAGCTACTTAATGTGAATTAATTTTATCTGTTGTACTACAAAGGTGATGATTAACAGTACGTTGACCACCATTAAGGTTCCTATATTTTGACACACATAGAGCTATCAAATATCAGATGGTAATCCCTGACATAACACACTGGACATTACTTATATATTATTCCCCAAACACTTATTATTCAACCTTTAAGATATTGCACTTTGTATGGGCAAATATGTAATGGATGTAATAGAACTAGTCCTGTTCATAGAGGGGGATGTTTCCTCCTTTAAAATATTGCACTTGGTGTATATGAGCAAATATGTAATGTACTAGAAATTGCAAATTGCAAGTGAAGTGCTGCAAAGTACAACTGCATAAAATGTTCTTCGAACAAAATTATTTATGCGAGTCAAGTGAAAATAATGAATAATAAAAATATAACAAATAATATGAGCACGACCCATATTATCTATATTAGAACAGCGTTGGTGCCATGTACAATAGTGTTTTGCTGCAGTGACATCTCTCTGCTGGCGACTCGCTGCTGCTGCTGGCGATGACTCGCTGCTGGCAAATCGATCTGCGCATGTGTATAAAATGGTATTTATTTCCAAAAACACTATGCCAGTCTACAACAAGCGTCGCCTAAATGTAATAATTAGCACGTTGAAATAGGCTAGTAAATAAGTTTAACTGGGTTCGTAAATAATAGTG